CAAGGGATTCCATTACCTGTCATACGAGGACAGATTGCGATCATTGGGACTATATTCTGCTGAGTACCGCCGAACTCGAGGAGACTTGATTTTGACGTATCAAATAGTGAAGAACCCAAACCATCCGTGTCGATCGCTTCTCATGTTATCGAACAATGTACACTTAAGGGGACACCGTTTGAAACTACTGGTTCCAAAGTCTCGACTGGATTGTCGGCGCCAGTCTTTTGCAGTCAGAGTATGCAAATCTTGGAACACCCTTCCATCTCATGTCGTTTGTGCACCCACTATTGAATCTTTCAAGCAGAGACTCGACAAAACCTTGGCACACCTCACATTCGTACACTAAAGGCAAACGGAAATTCACTGTAGCATACATTCTCTATTATCTCCTACCCGGAACTCTATGTGACTCCATTTTCGCCGTGTAACGATTCATCTATGTAAACATCCTATGGGACAATAGAAACACCAGCTTGTAAGCTATTCCCATACTAAATCTTTGACTTTGACTTTGAGAATAGTTTTCACAGGCATAGGGACGTTCATAATCCAAGGTTAAGACAAAGTTCGCTTATTGTTTGCTCTTTGTTTGTGAGTAGACGAGCAAGATACGGTATGGGTGAATTGCATTATGCATTAATTCGAGATGAAATTTGGCGGAATTGGGAGCGTGTTGAATGATGGGAATGACAAAGTGTCAGTTCTGTATGCAATGGGTGGTCCGGATCTGCGAAAACATTCTCATTAAAACAAGCTATCGAGGAGATGAACATAGTCACACGACCACATTACACCTATACTACAAAATGTACCGTTCAATGAGCTGTTAGAACTCACTTGAATTGGGGCTTCTCACTCCTTGCCGAATTTTCACCGGATCGCTGGATTTGCGAGCATTTGCCTTCACCGCCTTTGGTCCCATAGTGACCGTGGATTCATTGCCCTCAGCCGGATGCGAATGACGATGGTTGTTCGATGCACCCGTTCTCCCGGGATCTTTTTCCCCGTCTGTGCCGTTTTCGGCCATCAATGAACTCAGATCACTGGTCAACTGGGTACTGGGTGAATACAAATCCGTACTCCCACTGACGACCGAGGCAGCCACAGCCTCGGATGCAGCTCGGGCAGCGGCCAGGTAGGCCTCGGTGATCACACGATTGCTGAGCATGGTCATATTTGTTCCGTGACTGCTCGTGTGCGAGAGGCGGTGTTGACCTTGACCAACCAGACCGTAGTCACCTTCTACAAGACTCAAGTTGCGTGGGGATCGAGTTGGTGTCAATCCACCGTTGCGTGGATCGTAACCTCCGGTCGGGCCTCCTTGTGCAAGCATTTGTTGCATCAAAGGAATGGCTAAAACAAATGGGAAATCAGACAAGAGTGAATAGTGAAAACTCACAGTCGTCGGATTGCTATTTTGAGTATTACTGGTCAAATTCAATTCGATTAAATTAACTATGAGCTGGTCAAGTAGTCAAACGGTAATCACGTCCTACCCGTGATATCTTCCGGTTAATTTCTCAGTCGATCGATTAAATTGCAGTTCTATTAGGAACCAACAAGGGTACAAGAGCTAACCAGCATTTCCGGATGTGAATTTAGTATTTCTTTTCCTCTGTACATGCGAAGAATCGTGTTATCGCAGACATTTTTTGGGTGGAAAAGTTTCTCGATTGCTTTTTTCCATCATTCTTCAAATGACATACAACGGACATAGGGTACGACCTGACCTGCATTCGATATTTCAAACAAGTTCTTTCAGCTGGACTTGAAGTCATTTGGCTCATCTGGCATTCTAAACATTCGAGTACGGATTGGACTTTCTTTCCTAATGTGAAAGACAAGAGAATTAGCTGAAATGGTTTGGTTTTTTTATGGTTAGAGATCTTTTTTGGCAATCTTTCTACTCTGAGGTTATGTCGACCAGGCAACTGAGTGTTACCGTTCCAGTCTCAACCAATCGAAAACCATGCGATTCAAACCAGATTCATCTGACGTGGAGAACACGAACGCCGGTTGGATGAAACCAATACTATTCCTTTGTACATAATAATTAATCTCCGTGATTTCCTTCGATAAATCAACCTCTACTTCTGTGACCTTCTTGTGTCTCGGTGTCAGGAGAAATTCAGCAGGCAATTCCCACTGCGACTTCGTGTTTCCATCACGATTGCAGTCCCGATTTCTGATACGTGTGTTCCAAGCACCGGACGTTTTTAACCAGCCTCAAAGACACTCCCTATGTATTCTTGATAAATCCCATCCTCGTTCTTCTGATTTCATCAAGACACATTGACTAGTTTGCTGATTTTAAAGTGATATATAGCGTGGAGGTTTGGGTGAAAACTGGTTTCATGGTAGCACAACTAACGTTCGTCTGCCCAAGGCTAGGACAAACTTGAGCTCATCAGTTTGTCTGTGATATGGATGAATCAACTTCCATACCCCTGTGGTAGTTGGTGATCGATTGCGGCCGATTTCCTTTCGAGCCAACCGCGTATTCTATGTTTAATGCGCAAAAGAACAATGAAATGATCTCACTTGATTCAGCCAGTGCGTTGATGTTTTTGGTCCGGTAATTAGCCTTTGCTTAAATCAACAGTTTTTTCAATTGATTTGCAACACAGAGATATTACACGATCGCCTTATTTCACTGCAAAGTGACGGTTTTCGGGTACGATATGCCCGAGCGTCCAGACCATGGAGGCCATTTCCATCAGCAGTTGCATCCTTGCTAGGAATCTGAAACGGGGATTGCTCGGGTCGGCAAAATGTACTACAAGACCCCGTCCTCAGCAATTGCTCGACATCTGCTGATGACGCAACACCAAGTCGACCGAGGCACAGCGTTTCGAATTGTCTACATGTCACAAATCGCAAGATTGTTAAGGTTTGCCGAAGCGATTGCGATTAATCGATGGAAGCCCCCTCTGTGCCAGCAAAAAGAACTTTATGTTAGTCTCTCCCTACCCTGGTGATATTGGTCCTTTTACCTCTCCCTCTTTTATGTTTTGTCTGTTTGTTTTTTTAATGTATTTTGCTTTACTTTGTTGCCATGCTAAAGCCCTATATAAACACTGTATTTTCTGCAGTATGCATTATGTTGAGATACAGTGAAATCGTCCTGGACATAAATCGTGCAGTATTACCATATGGTCTTTTCTTTTGAAAATGTACGATGCTCGGTGTGACATCCTGGAATTTTGCTGATAAGCACGCGTTTGTCCGACAAAGTTGGATTTTGTGCTCATCCACAACACCAGGAGCTTTGTATTTACGCGTTATATTGTACTATAAAGACTTGTGTAAGTAAGTATGCCAACATTTCACTCGAAAACCGTTTTCACCGCCACACTTACATAAAGCTAATAAGAAAGTCAGATACAACAATGATTAAACGTAAAACAAAGCTCATCTTTGTAGATGCACAACCAGTTCGCGTGGGACGTTCTTTTCGGAATGCGAGCTAAACAAGATATTGTTGAATTAGGATAAGGGTTTATACGGGATGTTTAACAAGAAAAATTGGATCGGATTATGGCATGAGAACTACGGGCACATAGATCGGGATTGAGCGGTTGACTGGGATCGTTAAGGGTGAAATTCCCTCGTGAAGTTGTATGAAGATCAAACAGCGTTTGTGGGACCAAGAGAAACACGGCTAATAATTGATAAGCCGCATGAACGGATAAGTACAACAAGAAAAATGTGTAGTACTGGACAGAAGGACATATTTTTGTGCTTTACTCTGAATTGTCGTAGTTTTTATATCTGAAAGGTTAAGTGACACAGCCTACCAATACAGACTAGCACACGGGAGGACCACCGTAGATTGCTCTCTAAGGTGGCTGTCACAAAATGATTTCATATTAGATTGGTTTGAGGTGATTTGAAATAGAACCACGTTACTGGCATATTTAAAGATCCTGACTGGTGGGCTGACGGGGCAAACCAGTGATGAAAATTGAAAATCGGTATGGAGTAAGCATAACACTCTGAAGAACTCCAGAATTACTCACAAACGGATTCAAAACATTGCCGTTCTTTGAATACTTCTTGTAAAATTAAAATAAATTGATCTAACAACCGAGTGACTGTAACTTTCACAGAAGAAAAGATCGGAACGGAATCGAAAGCCGCAGAATGAGAAAGAAAGATACAACAAACGGATATTTTGGAACCGTCTAAAGATTTTCAAATGAAGAGACAGCTTCTAACCCACATGTATTTGGCCTATAAAAATAATTTGGATCATTAGGAGTGTCAATAGCAGACCGCACAAAGTAATGAGAATAGCGCACGAGGTTAGTTTTGGCTAATACATCACAATTTATATCAAACTGTTTAATAAGGAGGGGGGATGAACAGCGCCATATAAATTGTGATGTATTAGCCTGTAGAAGAATCACCGCAAACAAGCTTGCTTGCCACTCTGTGCTTCCTTGCAATGTGTAATGATGTTATATTCGGAGAATTCAGTAATCCCTTACAAGATGGTCAAAGACCGTGACTATTCTGTCCCCCTGAATTTTCCCTTTGATTCTGACCTCGGGCCTTGGTGGGCAAGTGGTTAAATCACCGAATTGTAACCCGGGGTCTCGGGTTCGAACCGCTCCACCGGCGCCCTTCTTCCGCATTTCTGTATTTCCTCAGGAAGCCTTTGTATGGTCGCGGCCACCCTTCTGAAAGTTGATGTACACTTGTATGTTCGATAAAGTAACGATAAACATATATAGTGCGCACCAAACCTTATCAGATTTCGAAACAATTTGGAATTTGCCAAGTTGGAAATCAGACCCTATCTGGGCTCTCTCTCCCTACAGTACTCGTAATGTGCACTCATCGTCTATACCTTTGTTTTTTGACTATCCGTTTGATGAGTTTTCGCTTACCGGCACATAATTGACTAAGCTGGAATAGTAATAACATCAGAATACAGTATTCTACTGTTTAATTCTCTTTTTATTTTACTTCCTTCCATTGAATAGATATAATTTTCAGGAAGGGGAAAGTGGCCAATCTAAGGGGCTGCCATGCAACACAGATTGGCGAAATTCAGGTGCAGCTGGTGGGATTCGAACACACGTCCTCTGGAGCAATAGTTTTGGTGACCGTTACCACTCAACCACCACTGTCTAATGAAAAATAACCCTAAACTAAGTGGCTAGTTAAATAAATAAACCCTCACGGCATTTAGAATGTGAATGTTCGGTTCGAGTCCTGACGGGGAGGTGTGCAATGCTGACGAGTCCTAAACAGGACGAAACGGCTGTCCGGTGCTCTTAGTCGGTTATCGCAAACATTTCCACCGCATTTAATCCCTTGTGGCATTTGCTCTCAGGCAATGTACACTGCCCATTATTCCTATCGAGCACTAGAGACCTGATCACATTCTCAAAGTTGATTGACCTTGGATGATCGGAATATGGTCCCATACTTAGTAAAAATGCTCGAAAGCAATTCATGTCATATACACTACAGTAGTTGCTACTCCGTTGAATTTGAGTGGATGAAAGCTGAGGTTAAATGAATTTAAATATCAAGGACTGAAAAAAAGAAGCACACTTTCAACAAATTGCAAGGTGATACACTCTATGTATTTGTGGGGGAATCATGGTGCTTCTTTTACCGCGGTTTGTGCCTAGGACACACGCATAACGGCAACCGTGTGCGTCCGGCACATGCCTGTGAACCACGAATCGACCGTGGTTTGTGTTCACACTCACGCACGTGTGTCTGAGGCTGGCCAGCACCACCACCACCATCACTATACGACCTTCCGTGACCTTTATGAAGGTCAACCCGAAAAGTACAGAGAGTGAGTCAGGGAAACGTGATAACCGCTTGGTTAGAAGGCCCCATAGTCAATAAGCGGAAGAACAGAGGTGGGGAGTGTGTGATCCGAACGAGCAAGAGTGGATGCTGTCGATCCAGGGTGAGGTTTGACCGACTAATGTAGAACAATGGAGTGGGCGACAAACTGGATGGTTATTCTAAATCGTTTCACCCTACATTGGTGATTCGTCAAACGGAAACGATTGTTAAAATATTCTAACGGATTTTTGAGACATCACAAATGTAGTAATTAGGGATAGAGAACAGCTCATCTATGAAGGAGGCTGTATAGCTCGGATTCCAGAGATCAAAACCCTTGTTTTCGCTTCAATTATGTACCTTCTCTCCTTCGGGTGAATCCATTGCAACTTCGGATGAAGTGAATAAACCAATGGTGTTGGACTTGGAATCCCATTGTTGCTTCGGCTGTTGCAAATTACCTATTGGACCCGGTCTATCATTAAGCCCATTCGGTCGGAAGGAGTTGATTCCCCAGAATCAAACAGATGCATTGTTCTTTCTTTATCTTTTTTCAGTTTATTGAATATACAACGATACAGTTTTCAGAAAGGGGGAGCGGCCAATTAAATGGCTGCCGTTCGACATACAATGGGCAAAGTTAGGCGGTGGTGGTGGGGTTCGAACACACAATCCCGTTAGTGACGTTATCACCGGGCCATCACCGCTACTGTTGAGCGAGGATGAAAGTTTGGGGTGTGTATGCTGTTCATCCGCAACAAGATAATTAGGCACTATAAACCAATAACCGAGTGAGCTCTATAGACGAGAATGAACGAACGCAGCAGATATTGACCTTAGTCAGTGGAGTCCGAAAGAGAGCCACGTGAAGGTGGTTGGATACACTATCCACCATGCCTTGGTGTGAAATGACTCTTTGCATGAACGAATTTACAGTATAGGTGACCGAATTCAATTGCGATCGAGCTTTCACCGCTTCTTTTGAACCCCATAACGGCCGCCTAAACACTTTTGAAAGGTAAAGATGACAAAACGCCTAGCAATGTCAAGAACAAATAACTCGCTACAAACGTGGTTCAACTGACTACTTAGTTAAAACCGGATAGCAAGCCACGTTGGTAATTTTCAACCAATAAGTACCAAATTCATAAAATAATACAAACCACATTCGGAACCTGGGGAAATTCAGAGAAATTGGTGATTTGAGAGTTCACCCGAAAGTTCACATGACCAACTACCTGGCTTTTTTATGTAGCGTCAACTTTGTTACTGGGAAGCAGAGAAAGAATTGTCTAGACAGTCCCACAGAGAACAAATCAAATGGAACAGAGAAATAATTAACACTATTTCACCTGACCTACGAGACGAAATTTCAGCTCATTTACTGGTCACCAGAAATTAGTTTTTGTTGACCGTATCTGCGTTTCATCTGCATAACACCGAGACTAATCATCTAACACCTAAAAATTCTCACATTGTCGCTCAGGGTGGTCACATTGATTCTAATCCTTGTTGCATCACTTATAATCCTTATCACGGCTTTTCATGGTCCAATTACATCTACCGGTTCTTTATAATTCAGTATGTGAAACTGAAGCCGAATAGAATGTAACACAACTATCCATGATCATACACAACTGATGTCAACTTCGTATCGGGGTCGGTTCTGGTCGTTATCTACCTTCGAATATGCGTAGCGGCTAAATCAGGGTCAAGAATTTATTGTTTATTGTGAGAAGCTTTTCCTTTGGATCATTTTCTGCAAGTCAGTTCTAAAAATTCGACTGCTGTAATAATCACGAGTGGGACCAGTGCCGATCCGACGCTTTGTGTCTTGGGCTGATCGGGATGCAATTACAATCGCCTGTGCCTTGTCAATCGGCAGCCGCGAGCTAACCTAGGAGTAATTCTGCTCCGTTTATTGAGCACATAGGAGTGTGACAAAAACGAGTACAACAAATACGGCCACCTCAGTATCAGTTATACAATTAGTAGTCAAAGCGAGAGAGAAGCAAAAATGATCGTACGGATGTGAAAAGTGCCAGTAATATTGGTCATAGGTAGCTCCGTTAAAAAAGAGATTGTTTTATACAGATGTACAATGAAGACTGATGGATTCGAATGCTGATGACACCTGGCATAACAGTGTTCCTGGAGCGATTTTATTCACCGTGTACCCAGGGCAGAACACGGGGAATACGCTGAAGCGGTTGTTTGCGCTTTGGACATGTTAGCCTTCTTCATTAAAAAGGTTATGATAGAGATCAGTGAGTGTTATTCTCCATGCACGAAACCACGGAAGTCACCGAGAGAATTGAAGGGATTCCTCAGTTCACAGCTTCCTTCGGTGAGATTTTTTCAGCAAACTTCCGGTGGAATAGGTCCTTTTCGCAACCAATTCCCTCGTGGTCGACTTCAGCAGATGAAGCGCCGTTCGGGGTTCATAGTCAGTTAAGTCGATATAAAATGTCTTCAAGCG